CCTGGTCTCCCGGACCTAAGCCCTTGTCAAGATTTAGCAAGAGGGAAGAAAGAGCTCCAAGGCCAGGACCAGAAGCTTCCCGAGATGAGATTGTTTTCATGCCGGACTAGGGATAGTGTTTTTCCCGTCCCTTCGGAGTCACAACTAGTGAGAACCTCCCCATTCTCGCCTTCGCCATGCTTCCCCTTGGACTCCGATGCCCAAGCCAGAAACAGTGTGCTGGCCAGATCCGATCGTCTGGGGTTTGAAGGGAGGGCGACGGTGGCTTTGTTCGAAGAAATGCTTCCATTTGGGAAGATCAGGACCGGAAGAGATCTCACACCCATTTCCATCATTTCACTGCTCTTTCCCATGGCCCTAATTCAGGAAGAACTTTCCAGCACCCAGTGTTGGAGGGACAAGGGTTCAACGTCACTGCTCTGAATACTGCCCAAGGAATGATACGTGAAATACGAGTGAAACCCAACAAGGACCTTGGTAGGCAGGGCACAAGGGTCACTTGTGGGGGAGGTAGGCTCTGTGGTGTTAAAAGATGAAAGAGAGGTTTCATAGGGATGCCTTTCTGAGGGACAGGCTGCCACTTTAATCCACCGTTGGCACAAAGTTGGCTCTTCAATACTCAGTACCAGAGAGAGAAAATGGAGAGACAGTGAGAGAGAGAGAGAGAGAGAGAGAGAATCAGAGAAAGAGAAAGAGAGAGAAATGAAGAAAAGATACTCTATGTGTGTCTATCTCGACTTGTGAAAATGTTAGAGGTGTGGTTTTTGTGAAAATCACCAGGTTGTGAAATATATTGGCCAGGGGATCCGTGAAAGTGAAGGATCTTCTGTTCAATGATAAGAATTCTTCATGCACCTGTGAAAGCTCAGTGCAGATCCGTTTTAAGTTGATTTGCTGACCAGGTCTATGTCAGTATCGACTTCCTTCTAATTTGTCCTTCTAACTTGCACTGCACTGGCTCTGAGGAATGGAAGCACAGCCTGTGTTCCACAGCTGGTTTCTGTGTGGCTGAAATCTTGCTGTTCCAAGGTAGTCACACCCCAGGTGGGTGCAGCTGAAACCCTCAGGTGAATCCTGAGTACCCCCAGGCAACGGGATGACCTACACCTAGAATCCCAGGGGCTCAGGAGGCTGAGGCAGGAGGATCATGAGTTGCAAAGCTGCCTGTGTGAGGGCAAGGTGACAGGCAAGTCCAGTGAGCCCCTGCCTCTCAGAGGATGCCAAGGACTGGGGATGTGGTTCCGTGGTGGAGTGCCCCTGAGTTCCATTCGTGGTACCCCAGAAAAAGATCATCCTGGTAACTCTAAAAGATGAGCCCCAGCAGAACGGAGTGAGAGCGCTTTATGACTGAAATTTCCCTCATGAGCAAACGTCCACCAAGGTGCAGAGGATGAGAAGAAATCCCGTGGTGAACACCTGTGTGCCCGCGGCCAAAGGGCAGGAATTCTTCAGTTGTTGCCCTACTCGATCCCTATATGGCCCACAAAGTGACAACCCCCCCGAAATCCTGTTGTCTCTCCCTCACGGGAAGTCCATTTCCTAGGCCTTTGGCTCTGCCTTTCCCACACTTCTCTTCCCCATCCATTTCTTCTGTCCCTGCCCTGGGGCAGAGGTGGTCCAGAGAGCTCCCCCTGAGAGGGAAGACCAAGCCCAGAGACTGGCAGTTTCTGGGGGCTTCCGGAAAGTGGAGGGTGTGGGATCTCATCTGCTGAGGGCTTCGCTGGCTTGGTTGGCCCAGGTCGCAGGAGGCCAAGTAGGCTTGGAGAGGCCAATTCTGGAAGCCCCAGTGCAACCCCGTCCCTGAGAGACCAGAGAGGCTCAGGCTCACTCTGGGCAGAATCTCCTTTGTCGGCCACCTATGCCTCCGAGGCTCCTAGCTGACTCCCAGTCTGGCCGACTCCCCCCACATCCATCCCCTGTCAAATGCCAACAGAAGCAGAGAGACAAGTTTCTCATCCACCAAACTGTATTGGAGATTGCAAAATCACACGGCGAATCGGGACAAATAGGCACGGGCCGGGCCGGGTGGGATGGGAGGGAACCAAGGAAAGTGGAGGGGTTTTATTAAAAAAAAAAAAAAAAAAAGAAAAGAAATGGGCACGAGTCATTTGGAACCAAAGTTCATTGGCACTTGGGGCGATTGGGGATCTCCTGTGACGGGGAGTGGCGGTTCCTAGGCCGAGGAGGTCTCCAGGTCCCTGTGGGCAATCCTCCCAGGAGCTTCTCTAAGAAGGAGGAAGACAAGCTGTTTCCTGGTGTGGGATCATGAGAGAGTTCTGGGACAGGCAGCGGTGTTTCCTCAGCTCTGCTCCAGTGGGTTGTCAGAGGCGAGACCCCGCTTTCTCGGGGGTGGCATGGGGCAGGGGTGAACGTTCCCAGCCCCAGGAGGAAAGGCGTCCCTGAGGCCTTGCTCCCCCAGCTGGAGGGAGGTGACTGCGGACAGCGTCAGGCAGGTTCCCTTTCCAAGCAACACAGCATCCCAAAGTACAAAAGCACCACCCGGAGGGCGGCCTCAAGAAGCCCTGCCCCAGCCCAGCCTCCACCCATTCTCCATCCCTGCATTCCACACAGAGGAGCAGAAGCCCTTCAGGTCTCTGGGGGTTCACGGTGGAGGGGGGGAGCAGTGGGATGTGCCCCTGGCACCTGGCTGGGAGCCAGTCGCAGTGGAGAGCAGTATCCAGAGTGGACAGGGGTGTGGGACGGGGGAATCAATGGAAAGGGGCAGCGAGGGGTGAGTCTGAGCTTTTGGTTGTGTCTCCTCGTGGGCCGGTCCCCGCGTGTCTTGAGGAAGTGGAGGGGGTTGGCTCTGGAGTTTGCCTGCAGTTTTCGGCGGAGGCCTGAGTCCAAGGCCAAGCCAGAAGAGGTGCAGGAGAGCGGGTCAGACGGAGGGCAGGGGTCCGAGGGTGTCCTTGTGGGCGGAATCTTCTCGCAACTTCCAGAGCACTAGGTGCATGCAGGCGCTGGCGTCCTCCCTAGGGCTGTGTCCGCTGGCGCTGGTCTGGATGCTGCGGCTGAGGTAGCGGGCCACGAGGCTGCGCAAGGAGCACTTGTAGGGGAGGCCGCGGGGATGGGGGAAGAGCACAGCCGTGTCCACCACGGAGGGGTGGATGAGCTTCAGGGCTAGCAGGTCGCACTGGAGGCTGTGTCCGATAAGGATGGTGTCGGCGCTGAACAGGCTCAGCAGGGAAGTCTGCACGTGGGGCAGCCTGGTGCGGCAGGAGGCCAGGTGGTCGTGGGTCACCCCCGAAAACCTGGTGTTGTAGTCGACGATCCGGTTGTTGGGCTTGACGAAGGTGTCGTAGACGCCCCGCATCTCGGTGTCCACCACCGTGACGCGCGTCAGCTCCAGCCCGTGTGTGGTGTAGCACATCTCGCAGTCCAGGGCGTAGACTCCTGGGTGGGCGTCCTCCCTGAAGGGTTTCTCCACAGTCCTCACGAACCCTTGCAGGTCTTCCTTCCTGCCATCCCGGACGTGTTGCCTGGCCACCTGACAGCCCCTGGAGCCCGCAGGCGCAAAGCAGCAGGTGTAGCGGCTCTCCCAGCCAGCGGCCACGGGTTGGTGTTGGAGCCGTCCCCAGTGATAGCGACACAGGTCGGCGCTGACACAGCGGCCCGAGGAGGACACGGCGTACTGGGAGCCACAGCGGCAGCAGATCCTCACCCCGTGCCTGGGCTTGTCCAGCGCGCCCAAGAGCAAGGCGGCCCCTGGTTTCTGCGGGTGGGGGAAGGGGTAGCCGTGCCCGTGGAGCTGCTCCTGGCTCAGCACGTAGTCCCGGAGGCGGCTGTACAGGGCTGCCCTGTGCAGACCCGGCACCACGCTGGGCACCAGACCCCTCAGCTTCCTGAGCACCTTCAGGGCCAGGCGCACGTAGATCTCCTCGCTGGGGCTGCTGTTGTAAGCCATCTGCTCCTCGCTCCAGGCCATCTGCACCGCCTCCTGGGGCCGCGAGAACTTGTGACACTCCTCCAGGAAAAGGCTGAAGTAGCCTTGGCGCAGGGCCGTGGAAATCCGTCCCTCTGACGCTTTCTTCACAGTGGCTTTCCTGAATTTCCCCAATGATGTCCCACGACCTATTCGCCTGGAGGCCACGGTGGTGAGCTTGGTTTCCGCCCCTGAGAGCAGGCACATCTGTGGCCCACTGCTGAGCTGTGGACCATTATCAGACTGGCCACTGCTGCTCCTACAGGTCCTCTTGGTACTGGTGATGGCTCTGGCGAAGCCTGGGTTGTCTCCCAGGAAGTTCCTCCTCCTCTTTTCCACGGGGTCTAAGAAGATGCCTGGCCAATCTTCGTGCTTCTTGGTGGTTCGCTCGGCAGGCAGCAGCCAGCAGCACTCTTTGCTCTGGGCAGGCCTGGCGCCAGGGCCACACACCTCCTGATTGGGCTGGGGCCAGCCCGGGGGCAGAGCTGGGCCCCTCCTCGGCTGCTCCGCCTTGATGACAAGAAATCCTGGAGCCTTGGCGCAGGTGTGGGCTTCCCTGGGCGCGACACAGGGCCAGGACCCATGCTGGCTGGGCAAAGATGCCTCCCTAGCCGCCCTCTGAGCTTCTGGGCACCCGGCTGAGAAGGAGTCCTGGGCACTAGGCTTCCCCATCATGGTGTCTCCAAGTCCCGCAGCTCCCTCCAGTGGGGCTGCTCTCCTCGCCTGGCTCCTAGCAATGAAGGCCGGGCCCTGCCCCTCAGCCCTGATATAGCCCAGGGTGGGCGGGGAATCCCGGGCCTTCCTGTCTGGGTGTGCACCTAATTCCCTCACCTTGGATCAAAACCACAGCAGCCTGAGGCCCCGCCTTTGACCTGTAGGAAAAGGCAGGGGCCTGAGTCAGAGAAGACCTCCTGCTTTCGAAGCTCAGAGCCAGGTTCTCTACCCTGAGCTTTTCCCAGAGAACTCACTACATACAATCGCCCCCCCCTCCACACACACACACACACACACACACACACACACCGACCCACCCCCCCAGATTCTATAGCCTCCCAACCCTCATTGTCTCAGGACAAGCCAGGAAGAAAGTCCAGCTGGGAGAGTTGGAGTGCCCAAGAGAGCGCAAAGCACCAGGAGCCATGTGTCCCTAGAGTCTGCCATCCCTGGGGGCCTCTGTTTGCCTGAGCTCAGGCTTCTCTTCTCTCGCCTTCTCTGGGAGCCCTCGCTGGCCTGTGGACAACCTGAGGACACGATGTGGGCGGGATGCACTTTTCCCACGAACACGGCCTGTGTTGGGTACACCTAGAATCCCTCAGCCCTGGAGCACTGGGAGACGCCTGCTGCAGACAGCTGGGCTGGGAAGACCAGGACCCTAGCCCCTCCCAATCCCGACTGACACCCCCTCCTCCTCCCTTCCCGACTTGACCTAAGGACCCAAACTCAGACTCTTCCTTCCCATATATTTGTGTCTTAGGACTAGGACCCGTGTCTTCTCCCATGGATAATATTGCTTTCTATCTTCGGCTCTGTTGCTCTGTTTGGCTTGGGGGCTGGGGGGTTGGATTTGGGTTGGGGGGGTTGGATAAGGGGGATGGACGTCATTCCCACTCGACCGCTGAGCCACGTCCCCAGTCCTGTCCTGTACTTTCTTGACATCCAGGGTCTCCATGTGTTGCTTGGAGCCTTGCCAAGTTGCCGAGGCTGCCCCGGGAGCCGGCCGTCCTCCCGGGGCAGCCTCTGCACTTGCTGGGATTATAGGCGGGGCCCCAAAGCTCCCACCGGGCCCCGGGCCTCTCTCAAGCTACCTACTTCTTGCTATCCTTTGAAACTGAAGCTTCGCAAGTTCGCAGCCATCCTCAAACCAGAAAACACTAGGAACTTTCAGAAAGTCTCTGAGAAAGGAGGTGTAGTGTGGCTAGCATCCAGGAGCATAGCAGAAAAACTAGGTTCAAAGGGATCTGGCTTTGCTCTCTTTGGTTTCCTCCTACTAGGCCAGTTTTCCAAGGGCGGGAGGAGTTGCACTGGGAGTAGCCCAAAGACAGGGAAGGCGCCCTGAGGTGTTTCAGCTCCCTGTCCTACTGGGTATCCTCCTAGCCTCAAGACACCACCAAACCAACAGCTGGAA